TGTGTTTGTTGTTGTTCAGGCAGGCCACAGGCTGCAGCGAGCATTTAACAAATCCTAGTTTGAATCAGTAAAAAACGATTCAAGGAATTTTTCGAACGATTTGAATATTCGTTACAATATTTCAGCCCTATTAGCTCTGTTAGCAATTAGCTGACCGAATTTAACCGTTAAAATCCCAGTTAACTGGTTCAAAAAACTGAAAACATGCATCATGAGAGCTACATACCTTTATCTTTCTCCTCTTTTTTCTTATTTTTCCCCCTGAATGGGGGCACCTGGTGGTTTTAGCCTTTTTATGTTCATCTCTTCTGTTTGGCTCCTGACTCAGTAAGTTTCCTTTAGTCAGGACTAAACAATTTGACCTTGATGGGGGGGTGACCACAAAATCGTTTTGTTTTTCCTTTTTTTATTCGGTCATTTCACACAATCCAGAAAAACCTGAAAGAACAATAGGCCTGTGTTTATGATATTATGAATGAAATATGCGTTAAATGGAAGAACATCAAGATGTGATTGACTTTAGCCGTGTTAATACAGATGATTCAGCCCCTACCCGCTCATTTCATTTGGGAAGACCCAGAGGTGAATTCCCCCGCCGCATCCCTCCCCTTCCTCTTCTTCATACACGCACGGAGCACCTGAACCCTCTCAGTCAGCAGGAGCGCCTGCAGCTGCAGGGGCGCCAACTTGCTGTTTCCAATCCAGACACTGTCATATGACAGATAGTAGAAAACCTCGGTGCGGCGCAGATTTCTTTCTTTTTTATTTTTTTACTCCGCACTTGTGCGCCCCTTTTGTGTCATGAAAAAATGCCGCCCCGGGCAACTGCCCTGTCTGCCCGTGCCTAAAATCGCTACTGCTCAGGTGGTAGAGCGGGTTGCCGCATGATCGGAGGGTCATGGGCTTGATTCCAGCTCCCGCCAGGGGTATCCTGCTGTTGTGTCCTTGGGCAAGACACTTCACCCAACTTGCCTGTGTTAGTGGTGGTCAGAGGGGCCGACGGCGCCAAATGGCAGCCTCGCCTCTGTCAGACCGCCCCAGGGTGACTGTGGCTACAAGTAGCTTACCATCACTAGCAGTGTGTGAATGTGAGAGTGTGTGAAAGCGTCTTTGGGTGTCTAGAAAAGCACTATATAAGTTCAATGCATTATTATTATTATTATTTGCAGCAGTCTCTGGTAGGAATGAATGCCTTGTAAGTCGTTCTCTGGGGAACGAAAAAATCTCAGGTGCCCCTGTTTGAGGATGTAGAAGTAGGCAGAAAATAACAGAAGACGACAGGATACGGAGTCTTATTTCCTGATACAGTAGACATCTCTTCTCTGATTGGCTAACAGCAACACAACTCTTCCACTGACTCTGTTTGCTCTGTAATCCTGATGTTTTATCCCCACAAATAACACAAGCCTGGAGGAGTTCTGCTGTGTGGTGGAGTCGCTAATGCCAACAGTTAGCTTCTACTAGCCTTCATCTCTGCTGTTTCCTCGATGCCAAACCAACAACAGCCTTCTCTGTCGTGAGTCAAGATGGGTGAGTCCATGAATGTTAAGTGACTAATCCCAGAGTTTCACCATCTCTATTTTCTATCAGAAGCTAATGCAGGAGATAGGTGTAGGAGACTTTTATGTTCAGCTCGCATGACAAACTCAGAGTGACAAGCCTGGAGGAGTTCTGCTGTGTGGTGGAGTTGCTAATGCTAATGTTTGCATCTACCAGCCAAGACGTTCTCTGCTGTTTCCTGGACGCTAACCCAACAACAATCTTCCCTGTAGCAAGTCAAGATGGCTGAGTCCAAGCGACAGGTTGACGTAGATCTGTCAGGCTTTTCTAATCCCAGAGTTTCACCGTCTGTTTTCTGTCAGAAGCTAATGCAGGAAATAGGTGTAGGAGACTATTTTATGTTCAGCTTGCATGACAAATTCAGAGTGACCCATCTTTTTCAAAAATAATAACTGAAAATGGTTTCTCAGTGAACTTGCTCTTTAACCTAGCCCTAACCCCAAAGTTAAGGAGGACAGGAGGGATCACACAGCTGAGTCTTCTGATTATTATGATAAGGGACTTAGCCTGGCAAGCCAGACTAAATAAATGTATTATTTAGTCTGGCCATGCTCCATTGACGGCTCTCGGTTGTGGGGCGGGTTCTACCGTTGTCTTTCAAATGATCTCTGCATTCCACTGGACAATGAATGTGACATACACTTGTTTCACTCTGTTGCATCATCCCACCCACCAGGCATATAGAGTGCCCTGATTGGCCCACAAAGCGGATAAAGCTCTGTGATTTGTTCACTAAGCAGATAGAGCACTATGATTGGCCCACCATTATGGACCAATCACAGCTCTTTATGTGTTTGAAACCCCTCTAGAGAGCTGTGATTGGCTAGCCAGAGTCCTGGTAGGAGCTGCTGAGGTTCCAATGGAGCATGCCTAGACCAAACTTTGCAAAGCAAGAATTTGGTCTAGTTCACTAGGCTATAAGGGACTAGCATCGGCTCTACTCTGCTCAACTCCACGTGTGTGTGTGTGTGTGTGTGTGTGTGTGTGTGTGTGTGTGTGTGTGTGTGTGTGTGTGTGTGTGTGTGTGAGTGAGTGTGTGTGTGTGAGTGAGTGAGTGAGTGTGTGTGTGTGTTTCTCCTCACAGCAGTGAGAGAGAGTAAAATGGCTTCCGTCAGAGGCTCAACTCCACAATGATGATGAATCACACATGCGAGAAGCCCCTGCAGCTTGATTCTATCTGCCAATCAGAGACTCCCCTTAAAGATCATTTTGAGCCGGCCAATCAGTTAGCAGTGGGTGTGTCAGCCCTGCTTGGCTGCAGGCAGACCACCTCAGGACGAGGGCTGAAAACAAATCCGGTTATGAGCGGGAAAATCCAAGGCTACCTAAAGGAGAACACTCTCACCCGGTCCAGGCGGAGTGGAGCTGATGCTAGTGTGTGATTACCTTAAGAGACAGAATAGCTGTGCAACAGAAATGAAGAATTGGGAAGGAGAAGCCAGCTCCTCAACCACACGCTCCGCAAATACGTTCTAATCTGCAGGTTAAATGCAAACCCCTTCCACAGTCGTTCTACCCTTTGGTTTGTGTGAAGGTGAGGCCCCAAACTTACCTGGCTATATTTTTACTGGAACGTATTTGTGTGGTATGTTCTTTTTGTATTATAGTGTATAGTGTATAGTTCCAACTGCTACCAGCTGATGTAGAACTGTTATAAGTCTCGTATCCAGACTTGGACAGACTTCTTCCTCTAGTGGAATAATTATTTAATCTTCTGCTGATTTAGCACATTTGTCAAATAATAAAGAAAAACCTACAATTTCAATAGTACATTTATTTGAACAGTCATTTAAAGAATCCATAAAAATTGTTTTTCACAGAAGTTAAACATGGCTGGGAGGGTTGGTGCAGACGATTGATTCCAAACAAATTCTGAGTCAATGTAGCTACGAGCTAACGGCGTTTGACAGCCAGACAACCATGGTTGAGTGACTTTGCTACCCTGTGCCTTCTTGACTGTATCACTTTTAAGGTGAGGCCTTCTCTGGAACAGCCAGGAGGACAAAGAGCTCACCTGCTGCCTGTGAATAAAAGGACACGCCCCTAATCATTCATACTTTCAAGCTTGAAAGCTGCAAAAGCACATCTCTAGAACAAGCTAGCTTCAAACGTTGTTTTCATGCCTCTTAACAACTTTCTAACATAGCAATGAATATATTGTGGAGATAAAAAAATTAAAGAAACTAATGAAATGGTTCTCTAAAAACAGCTCGGACCGAAAGCAACTATCAGACCATTCAGTTTTTGGTCTCATCAAACTACCGGGTCCTCCATTCATTACTTGCTTGCACATTTTGCAACAGAACACCAATGGTGTGAGAGTTTCTCTGCTCAATCTGAGGAGACACATCCGGCGGAACATAAAAATAGTCTCCTACACCCATCTCCAGTATTAGCGTCTGATAGAACATAGAAACTCTTGGATTAGAACAGACTCACAGATCTACGTCAACCTGTCGCTTGGACTCAGCCATCTTGACTTGCTACAGGGAGAGTTGTTGTTGGTTTGGCTTCCAGGAAACAGCAGAGAACATCATCTACTAGAAGCTGACCATTAGCATTAGCGACTCCACCACACAGCAGAACTCCTCCAGGCTTGTGTTATTTGTGGAGATAAAACATCAGCATTACAGAGCAAGCAGAGTCAGTGGTAGAGTCGTGTTGCTGTTAGCCAATCAGAGAAGTGATGTCTATATGTAAGGAAATAAGTCTCCGAATCCTGTCGCCTTCTGTTATTTTCTGCTTACTTCTACATCCTCAAACAGGGGCACCTGAGCTCCCCCCCCCCCCCCCCGAGAACGACTTACAAGGCATTCATTCCTACCAGACTGCTGCAAATGTATCGTAATGTCTCTGACTCAATGTTTGCTCTTAGAGGTATTTAATACTGCCACGCCTTACAGCTCTTAGCTCTCTGATGAAAAGAAACATAGCCTCATTTAGCTTCAGCTAAGTTAGCATTCAACCCGTAACTTTTTTTACAGCCAACCAACAAAAGGGACAGCCTCAAACCGGAACGACAACTTGTTTTCCCGCCCGCTTAACTCGCCCTTCAAAATAAAGCGTTAACTGTAACCCTTCAAACTGTTAAACTATTCAAAATATGACCTTTAAATTCAGCTTTGGGGCATTCGTTGCAAGAGAGAGAGTTACACTAACAAACTCAGCTATTCCGTTTGATGATTCTTGTTTGGTTTGAACTAATGTGAGATTTTTTTTCTCAGACTCTCCTGAGGAATTTCCAGGCATTCACTGAGATTTATTTCACGTTCAGAGTCAGTGGCAGAGTCGTGTTTCCGTTAGTCAATCAGAGGCGAGGTGTCCAAATATCTACAAATACAAATCTTGATGAGGCGAGTCCCATTTTCTAACTGCAACAAGAGTCCCTAAACAGACACCCGCATTTCAGATGACATGAATGATGACCACACCTAAAAGAGTTGATATAAAATACTTTAATAAATTATATGATTGTTCTAAGAACAAAAAATCCACTAACAAACCAACATTTTAACCAAATTTTGTACAAAATAATTACAATGTTCAGCACATTCAGTTCTTCTTACAGCTAAAAAAAAAGACTGATGAAAAAACAGTTTAGGTTCTCCTTAAATTGCAGAAACAGAAAGGAAAGTGTTGACTCAAATTATCCCATTACTACTGTGAGCATTCACAAAAGTGGCACCATGAACAGCATGAAACTTGTTCCCTTCATTAAACTAGAAACGACTCGGAGAGAACTGGGGACAAACGAAGAGTACATTTCTTTACAACAGGCAGGTTCTAGTTGCAATCAGGCACCATTTCTTCATTCTATAAAGACGAGCTCGCTAAAGATCACTTCCTGCAGGTGGATGACCGCCGAGCGCCCAGCTGCTCTGTGTGGCGTCTCCACCGTCAACAGACTGTAAAACTGTGCATTTGTAACTGAAGTACAAAGAGACTACCGAGAGCCTGACAGCGATGCTTTGAGCTAGTCTGGACCCTGTGACCAACGTGTGTGAAATGAAAATAGGAATCGAATTCAGGGTTCCCGGTTTGAGACCCAACGCTCAGGCCATATCTCTTTAAAGCTGTCTGGTGTCCAGAAATCTAAACTCAGAAGACCTTTCCATCAGTCTGCAGTTTCAAACCTCCAGATATATGTAAAAAACACAATAGTTTCATATGAAGAGAAGCACCAATCAAGATCTCATGCAAAACATTTCCATTCTGCGTGGTGCGCATAAGTAGCAGACCACTTTTGCATAAAGTGGTCTGATTTAAAAGCACGACAAACTTTTCTACTGAGGCCCTGTCCACACGTAGCCGGGGATCTGCCAAAACATAGATATTTTTCTACGTTTTGGCCTGACATCCACACGAAAACGGAGTTTTTTCACACGAAAACGGATCTTTTTAAAAACTCCGGCCAAAGTGAAGATCTGCGTTTTCTCCGTTTTGGGTGTCTGCGTGTGAACAGACAAAACCGGAGTTTTAAGGTCCGCAACGTCACTTTCCGCGACAGAAAAATGCTGACATCACGTGCGCGACCTGTGTTTACACTAGCCGACAGCATGGATGCCCTCAGAGCTGCGCTCGCTTTATCAATTGTCCAAGCGCTTTTTGCTTGTTTGTTTTTGCAAGCGGAATTACTGCTCCTTGCGGAAGACCACAGACGAAGGATGAGGTTAAGAACGGGGGAAGTACTGCCGCCTACAGGTCTGGCATGTCCTTAACAACGTATTTATACGGGTACGTGTGGACAGAGTTATTTTTTTAAACGAGGTGGTGTGGATGCAAGTTTTTGGAGGGGCGGATATTCGTTTAAAAAAAAACGGCTACGTGTGGACTAGGCCTTAGACTTTTCTGTTGTGCATCACTGATGATTGCGTACATTTATGCAGCAGAAATGAAAAGTGGTTTCTGTAAGACACATGAGCAAAAAAGCTTTCAGGAGTTCCTTAAAAAAATATCTGAATTTAGTTCCTTTAGTGCAACAAGGTTTTTAGCAGAAATATCAGCTGCTGTGATTCTTTGGGACAGTCGCTGCAAACCTACTCCAAAGCTGCTAACACCAGCGGCAAATACAAGAACTGTAACCACTCTGAACTCAAGTAGATCAAAGCAACGACATTTTCACCAGTTTGTGTCATTTCGGTGGGTTTATGCGCAAATACTGGAACCAGTGGGTGAAAGTCTGAAAGATGAAATACCATCTAGTTTGGTAAAATAAGATTTTATGGTGGAAATAAAAAAACTAAAAGGTATTATCACCTCAATCACAGCAAATTTCTCTTTTGGCGTGTTGAAATACAATAATATCCTTCCACGTTGACAGACACCATTTCTAATCATGACAGTCAGAATAAATAGTTACTAGTTATTCAGGTCTGAGTGGGGGCTAAATCAGAAAATAGTCAGAATGTCGGATCGTCGAACACAAATAAACGGAATGACATTAAAACAAAGAGCAAAAACAACCGTATTCTTTAGAATAACTATGATACAAAGCCTCACTTAACTTACTAAACTCAAATATACACAGTCATTTGTTTATTTACATATGTACTGTACATCACGATAAAACAAAACTTTACTGCAATATGAAGTTTGTTATTAAAACTTATTTCCCTTTATGCATTTCAGGAGTAAAAAAGGAGAACGTTAGTGGCTGAAGGCACTTTGGTAGGAGAAATACTGAAAGACCACCATCGCGATGCTCAGGAGGCATGGAGTCGTTAAACCTCGAAAAGAGAACAGGATCAGCATTCGTAAATGGAAATTAAATAAAAACATTTATAAACGTAAAGAAAATAAAATCTCCTCGTCAGGCGTAACACGGCAGGGTTCTTTGTGCCAACATGGATACGACAGAAGCAACTTTACTAATCTGATAAAAGACATGGCTTCACGTGGAAACGCCTGCAGGTTTGAGCAAAAGCAGGACAGAAAACAGGTTTGGAACAGCTGCCAGCCTAGGTTGGTTTGATTCAATCCAAAGTCTAAAGTCTTCTTTAGGATGGTGTAACACAGTGCTTGTAAACAGACAAAAGAAACAAAGGAACACAGATTTTTAGCACAGTGAAAAATAAGAAACCTCCTGAAATCCAGGAGCTGTGATGTTTTTCCCATGCTTACTTTTTTAGGTATTTTTTATTTGCTTAGTGGTAAAATAAGCCTCCATGCCACAGAAAAGAATATTTAAATAAAATAGACAAACAAAAATACAAAATTAAAGCATTGTTAATCTTCACTTGTGGTGCGTTCAAGAGCTGAACAGTCAGTGGTGTCCCTGTTCACACATAGTGGTCTTTAATGTCCTCGCTGAGCTTGGCAGCAACCAGGTTTTTACACCGGTTGTCTTTGGGGCTGTACGCTGTCCGATGTGGTGCTTTCATCGGACCGCTGCGTGTCGTACAGATCCTCCCGCCCTTACTAATCCACCCGTTGTCCTGCACCTCCCCTCTGGCGCACCTTTGAGGGGGACACTTATCCCCCACGCCCAGCGCCCTCTCCTCATCATCCTCTCGCTCTCCCTCACGATCACGTTCGTCCTCGTCATCGGCCCCGTCACACATCCTGTCAGCAGGGCCCATCAGCTTCTTGCATTCATACCGAATGTCTTTGTTGCAGTTGTTCTTGGTGGGATTGCTCCTCAGCGGCTCCAGCTGGTTGTTGACCGTGGTTTCCTCAGACAGCGCTGCTCTCTCACGCTCTTTCTTCCTCTTACGGGTCCACCAAACACAGACAACGAGGCAGAAGATCCACAGAACACTGAAAACGGCGCAGAGCACAGGCACCAGGTAACCTACAGGAGAGAGTTTAAGGAAGAGTTTGAGCTCAAGAAAAGGAATCAATTCATTAAAAAGTGTTTGTACTTGGTTTGGAGGTACTCTCTGTGAAAAATAAAGTACACCGTTTCCAGAAGACAAAATAGTGACATTATGCTGTAAAATCGAGATTCTACTATAAGTACTTCATGTAAGATCTGGACTAGAGAGGCTGAGCTAAAGCAAAGTCCCAACTGATGAGGGGCATTATGTGGGAATAATTTTTATCATAAACTGATTCCTGGATGTCCTTCACCTGCAGCCTGGCAAGTCACCCTACATGTGTGAATACACAGTCTGGCCACAACCCACAGACGGAGCTATCTATGGTTGTCTTTCTAAGTGTCTTCGCACGTTATTGGACATCATCTAATGCCATAGTGGTGACGTACTTAATGCTATGGTTGTCCACCATACACTGTTGTGGAAGATGCAAGGACATCCTTTTTAAAATAAAGAACTAAAGTACCTCATTTGCTTACGACTCAAAAAAAAAACCAAGTTTAAATAGTCGTGAGTTCACGCCAAAGCTGTTTCAAATGAGCATTCCCATCTTAGTTGTTTCACTCCATTGCACCATCCCACTCACCAAACCGATAGAGCGCTGTGATTGGCCCAGCAAACCCAGACCTGCCAACCTGTACGCATTTTGTGTAGCCAGTACGCAATTTGGCATTTATTTACGCTGGTATGACTCAGCCCTCTAAACTACGCAAAAAGCTGCGGATACATGAGTTGAGTTCTGTGGCAAATATGCACGTGTGGTACTCATGTCTGACAACACGACTCAGCGGCGTGGTGAAGAAGTTTAAGCCAATCATCGTTGAAAAGCTATCTGGCCTAACCTATAGCGTAACACCCCTGCCCCCCTCCTCCCTGCTTCATCCTGCCCGCTGCTCCTCTCTCCCTCCGGTTCGCCGCTCGCTGCTGTTCTGGTAAGGTAAACTGTGTGTGTGTGTGCGCGCGCGTGTGTGTGTGTGTGTAAAATTTTTTTACATCCAGTGAATGGGGAGATTACAGCATGAAAAGCAATGGAGTTGCAAAAGTCTGCAAAAAGCGCCACACAAGTGGTATTCAAAAATTTTGACAAGGTTGGCAGGTCTGCAAACCGATAGAGCGCTGTGATTGGCCCAACAAACCAATGTGATTGATAAATGACCTGCACTCGTATAGAGTGTGTGTGTGTGTGTGTGTGTGTGTGTGTGTGTGTGTGTGTGTGTGTGTGTGTGTGTGTGAGCGTCAGAAGGCTAAACAATAACCTGTAGAATAATTAAAGTCATCATGCTAGAGCAGCTGCTCTGTGGTGGACCACACCAGCTTCTGCCACAATAAATAATAAATAATAATAATAATTAATAATAATAATAATAATAATAATAATAAACGTTTTAATTTCCTTTCTGAACTATTTCTGTTGAGTTTTAATGTTTAAATCTGTTAGGTTGTTACTGACAGCAGCTACATTTAAGTTTAAGTTCCTGTTCTGACTGAATGCTGCTGCAGCATGGAGGTGTAGTTCTCAGTCATCCTGGATATGATCATCCTGAGAGTTTCAGCTGAAAACAGCTGGACGTTTCTGGATATGTTGGAGACATTTAGCCTCTCATCCCAGAGGCTGCTTCCAGACTTTGGTTGTGGTCAGAAACAAACACACTGGTTGTGCTGCAAGTCTTTTTCTTTTTTCCTCCAAAACATGTTTGTGTTTAAAAGAAGGTGAAGTTGTTGTTCATAAAATTAAAATTCATGTTGAAGTTAAGATTATTTTATCAGTAGGACCTGTGGTTAGCTGGCTCATGTAAACAGGTCATGTCTTGAAAGAATCGGAACCGGAATCGAAATGAGGAATTGGAATTGGAATCGTTCAAAATAAAACGATGCCCAACCCTAGTTAGAGGGGTACTGATTGTAGGCCGGGCTACAGTCTGTTGTGTCCCTGGCGTTGCTAACAGGGCCTAACTCACCGACAGGGGGGCACTCCACGTGGATCTCCACTTTGGCCTCCAGCACAGCCAGAAGGAAGGTGGTGTTGTGGCGTTTCGACAGCGCATCAGTAACGGCACTGGCAGCCTTCTGGATCCGTTCACACTCGCCATCCTTCTGTCGTCCATCCATCTCAAAGGACTACAGAGACAAAGACACGGAGGACACCAATAAACTCTTTCTGTTTTTTAACATTTTTTTTACCAAACCCCTCATATGAGTTTAGTTTTCTCGCCCTTTCTTGTGAGTGGAATGAGTTTGAGCCTGAGCAGGAGGGACGGAAAACGAGGTGCCTCGGGCAAAACTTAGCAAGACAACAGAAACGAGAAGAAAACCCACATTCATTCGTCAGAATAAAAGACATTCTCATCCTACCCCCACTCCCCTACTGAGACCACAGAAGGTGGAGCTAATTGTCTAATAAGGTGCTGAGGGTGAGGCGGGGGGGGATTAGCTGTGTAGTTCAATTAGGACCCACAATAGGGAAGAGGCCAGCTGTGCTCCTTGTTCACTGGGGGACAAACGGGGGCTTCTTTCTTCTCCTGAGGACACCAGCAGCTTGTTCACATCCTCGTGACCCCACGGCGCTCTGAATGACTGACGGATCACCACACAGGAGCAGAGGGCCGAAGACCTACAACACCTTCATGTGGAGTCTGGGAATGATTATTAATAAGACTCAGACAGGAAACGTGTGCCTGCAGGGTCCCCGGGGTTGTCCAAAACAGGAATTTGGTTTGACTTGGAACACAGGTGAAGGATTACACGCCTGCTTTGGTCTTCAGTCTTCCTCAGTGGCATTTAAAATCTACCATCAGGGTAGAACAGGGCGTGTCTAGGCTACTGAAGGATGTTTGGGCCTTGTCACCACGGACACCACGTTTCCACAGTGGTTTCATCACTTCTTTGGTGTGTTCTTTCTGTTTAGTTTCTAATTCCCTTTTCGGTTCTTTTTAAAACACGGAAAGTTTTTCTTTACCTTGCTGACGTTTCGTTTGTCGACTGCAAAACATCCTCAGGCTGACGCTGATGGTGGCGTCACTTCCTACTCCGTTTATCCGCGGGCAGCAGAGGCCGTTGTCGCTCTCTGCTGCCCGCTCTCCCCTCTCCGATGATGCAGTCCCATGCACGATCCAACGAGTAAACTCCATCGTCCCTGTTCATGGTCCCACATCCACGTCTCCTTATCTCGAATGCTTCTTTTATCCATCTTTTGTATTTCTGTTGTTCGGTGTTTATGATCCGTGTGCTGTCCCAGTCCATTATATGGTTTTCTCTTATGCAGTGATCTCTTACGGCTGACTTCTTTATTGTACTTTCTGCTTCTTCTTTTGCTGCTCTTGTGTGTTTTCGATTTGCCTCTTTCTCGCACTCCTTTCTGTGTTCTATTGTCCGTGTGTTGAGTTGGCGTCCGGTTTCTCCTATGTATGTTTTATTGCAGAGTTTGCATGGGATTTCGTAAATGACTCCACATTTAAGTCCAGCTGGTATTTTGTCTTTTGGGTGCACTAGTCTGTTTCTAACTGTTGTGTATGGCTTTGTTGGTGTGTTTATGTTGTGTTTTTTCATTGTTGCTCTTATTTTTTCCGTTATGCCTCTGATGTATGGTAGGGTTATCACTGGTTTTGGTTCTTGTCTTTCTGGGTTTCTGGTTCTTTGCTTTGCTTGTTCTTTTCTTTCTGTTGTTGTTTGTTGTTTTCCTTTGTTTATTGCCCATGTCGGGTACCCGCAGGTCTTTAAAGCGTGTTGTATGTGTTTGTCCTCTTGTTTACAGTCTCTTTCTTCTGTTATCATGTTTGCTCGGTGATATAATGTTCTGATTACTGACATTTTGTGTATGGTGGGGTGTTCTGATGTCCATAATAGATATTGGTCAGTGTGTGTTGGTTTCCTGTATGTGTTTATGTTTAGGGTCCCGTCGGTCTGCCTGGTTATTTTCATGTCCATAAATGCTATGCTGCCTTCTGTTTCTGACTCGTAAGTGAACTTTATGCTGCCTGTGTCGTTAATGTTATTCAAGTGTTGTGTTAGTGTTTCTGTTAGTCCTTTTGGTATGATTTCCAGTATGTCGTCTACGTAACGTTTCCATAGTTTTATTTTACAGTTTCGGGGGGGGCGGTGGCTATGGCTTTTTGCTCTAGGTCTTCCATGAAAAACGGACACAGGGTGGCTGATAACGGGTCACCCATGGCGAAGCCTTCCAGTTGTTTGTATATTGTGTTGTCATACGTGAAGTAAGTGGAGAGCAGGCTGCAGAGGGCGACAACGTCCTCTGCTGCCCGCGGATAAACGGAGTAGGAAGTGACGCCACCATCAGCGTCAGCTCTGAGGATGTTTTGCAGTCGGCAAACAAAACCGTCAGCAAGGTAAAGAAAAATCTTTCCTTGTTTTGTAGCGTGTTAATGGGAAAATGTGACCTTTGTCACAGATTAGAGGCCCTTCGTGACGCTACAGTTTTAAAAAGAACCAAAAATGGTCTCATCACTTTCTGGTCCTAAAAACAAAGCCATCAAAATCCAAACTTTTGATGCACATGAGGTCATAGGTCAGGTCAGGTCAGAGGTGGAGCTAAGACATCATAGTTCCTTAACGGCTGTTTGCACCAAAACAGAATGTTTGGGTCCATGGACCAGAGCCAGAAGCAACAACTGCTTCAGTGGTCCAGAAGTTCATATTTTAAGATCAAACATTACTTCCATCTCCTCTAAGTGTCTTCATTTGTCGCCTTGTACACAACCTGAGCCCTGGAACCTCCTCTTTGCTCCGCCTTCCCTCCAAAACAATTGCTAATCTAAATCTTTTTCTTTTCTGCCATATTTAAGAAGTAGACACTGACACTTAGCTGCCACAAGCACCCACTACAAGCTGTTTTTGTATCAAAGCCTTGTTGTTATGGGATTTGGGTGGATGTCAGACCCGCCACTCCTTTTTCCTACATCTGCTGCTCATAACGGCCTCACTAACATCATAGACTCAAGAGCTTAGCCCGTCTATTAGAAGCTTAAAACACCAAAGCGACAGAATTGCTTTAAGTCTGGGTGAGAGGCAACCTGATGCACGACAAAAGAGAGAGGAGAGCAAAACAGAAGGTAACTATGGCAAAAAGACACGATGGGGAGAGAAGGAAAACAAAGCAGGTAGTAAAAGGATCAATATGTGGAGGGAGATGCTTCACCAGAACAACATCCACATGTTACTAAAACGGTTTTGTTCTTTGCCTTTTTTCCAAACTAAGAGGAAAGAAACAAAATCACAAATGCTCCGATTTTTTTTGATCACTCTCAAAACGTTTGAGCTCAAAGGTGAATTAGACTCTCCATATGAACATTTGACACATCTCCTGCAGATCTTTCTCCAAAAATGTAGTTTGTAGTAAAAACTCTACATTACAGTCCAAACTCATGTTTGTGTGCAAGTGTAGTTAGTAATCACCATGGCAACCTCCACAGCATCCCTAGTTGAGTAGGACAGGTCACAGAGGATCAGCAGAGCTCGCTCCTCAGCCAGAGTCCGAGTCACAGGCAGGTACCTCAGCTCTGAGCAGATGTTCTCTACAGTGGTGCCCTGCCACACACACACACACACACACACACACACACACACACACACACACACACACACACACACACACACACACACACACACACACACACACACACACACACACACACACACACACACACACACACACACACACACACATTAATGTCTGCATTAATGGCCCAACAGGATCACAGAACGTTGCTCTGATGTTCTGCTTGTGACCAGCCGAAACACGGACCGATGCAAGGCACCGTAGGTGTCTGAAGTTCTGGTGTTTAGAACCTTCTCCTTACCTGTGGAACTTTATCCTTCTGGAAGACCAGTGTGATGTGGGCACAGCTGTTGTCTAGGTAATCACTATTAGGCTCACACTGGGTGTGCAGAGGAGTGGGAGGGTCGGGTGTGGAGCACACCCCCCACTGATGACATGGCTGTGAGAAGCAGGTGAGGAACGGATGCTCCACACACTCCTGACCTCCGGAACAGGACTGGTGGTTGGAGTTGGCAGCTGGGAGAGTCTTTGGGAGGAGGCAGGGCTGACGACCACACCTCACCTAAGAGAGGACAGCATGAGGTTGTTGGATTAGGTAATCCTCTCTGGCACAGAGATCTGAACCGTTTAGTTCAAATGGTCTAAAATGTAAAGTCGGAAACCTTAGAGCAGCGAACGTCCCCGTTGGAACACTGGCAGGTGTTACAGTCCTCCTCCCACCGGCTACCGTGGGGATACTGGAGGCCAGTGTGGTGACAGGACTTCCCAAGTCCGATGACTGGAGTGGAAGAAAATGCAATTCATCACAAACAGGAAGGAGGAATATCCCACATCCCACGGCTGTAAAGATTTAAAAAGGTTGGCGACCTCATGATGAAAAAGAAGCCCATGTTAAGTCGTCTGCCACTAAACCAGATTTTTGGTCCCCTAGCCTCTGAACTGCCTCCGTTGGTCACATTACATCAGAAGTCCACTCAGAGTCACGGTATGCTCCAAGCTAAAGCAGGAAGTAGCTGTTTGGACATTAGCAAAGATGTAAGACTTACTTCCGTAGACACCCCTCACACTGCAATACAAACCCAGGTCCAAATTCACTGCCATCGCCAGAAGAACGGCATCTGGCTCTTTGCTGCTAATCAAGCAGCTGTTCTCTGCTGCGGTTTGCTTCCATTTCTACGTTAAAGTGGCAACCGGGACATTTGGAATGGAGTCATCTCTACGTGATGATTTTTATTTCACTTACACTCCTGACAGAGACGTCCAGCGTGTCCTGGAGGACAAACGCAGCGGTAACTGTTAATCTCATCGACGCAGGTGGACCCTTCAGCACAAGGAGACGTCTGACACTCGTCTATATCTGAAGCGACAAACACGAGGCAGAAGTAGACATTTTAGTTGGGTAAAGACAAGTTTTCACTTCTGATGTTGATGAAGTAACAACTGAACAACTTGGGGCAACTCAACGGATTCCTGTGCTGATCCTTTTATGAAAAAGCTGATATGATGATTAGTTAAAAATCCTGACTGAAAGTCTACTTTTTCAAACGAGTTCTAGTTCTGAGGCCCGTTCTGCCGCCGAGCCCAGCTCTGAAGGGGAGAGCTTCCTAAAACACTTCCTAATCTGTCGCCCTGAAACAATCGGCTCACACTCCCCTGCCACGACCTTTCACCCCTGACCCCCGCCCACTTGACCCTGACCACAAGCCCCCTTTGGTTCCCAGAGACTCACTGATGCGGCAGTCCGGTCCAGCGAATCCAGGCGCACACTCGCAGCGGAACCAGTTGACTCCGTCCACACAGACGCCGCCGTTGTAGCTGCAACCAGAGGGAGACAACTCACAAACTCGCCATTCTCTCTCCCCTCTTGAGTGGCAGCACAGTGAAGCTCTAGCTGATCCCAGATCTGCCACCCCACCACCAACGGACCACCTTCAGTGCCCCCAGCTAGCATTGGAGGCTACTCTGTCTCTCTCCCCTTACACACTCTCTTCTCCAAACCTCAACCACCACTAATCCGCCGGTCAGTCATTTGGGGGGGGGGGGGGGGGGGGGGGGGGGGGCTTTTGTAATGGACAGAATCTCCTAACGCTTCAGAAGGCACTTTAATCCCAGCAGCAAAATACTTTAAAATGTGAAAGAAAAACCTAAAGAGTAGGTAGAAACGCGAGCTTCTACGTTACTCCATACAGACAAATGTTTTTTTAAGCCGTTTTACTCCTGATCACTTCTGAACTTTGTAATATCTTCAAGAAAAAGACAAAGATCTTTAAATTTCGACAAATGTCACATTCATGGTTTAATCTTCCTTACCAGGGATGTGGATTGCAGTCATTAACATCTGCAGGGAAGGAGAGCAAAAAGAAAACATTTACTCCTGATTTAATGAAACCCTTTTATAGTTAGCTCTAGGTGATTTCTGAATAAAAACAAACAAGGGCATCTAAAGGTGACGTACTTTCTGTACAAGTGGGCCCCTCCCAGCCGTCCTTGCAGATGCAGGTGAAAGTGTCGCCCCCGTTGATGCACGTTCCTCCATTCTCGCAAGGACCCGAGTCGCAGGAACTGTTTTTGGCTGGTGACAAACCCAGACGGGTTCAAATACAGTCTGGTGTTGGCCCTTTGTGCTGTGCTGTCTTAACATGTGTCTCACCTGAGTTACAGGTGCTTCCACCCCACCCCGAGGAGCAGCTGCACAGGAATGAGTCGCTGTGGTCAAAACATGTCCCCCCGTTCCTGCAGGTAATGGAGTCACACTGGCTCTCACCTGGACAGCAGCGACAGTAAAAGACTGAGATGTCTGCAGCAACGATGACATCAGAGGAACACAACGGGTCTGTTTGGCTCTTGTTCCTCAGAATGAGTTCGAGTAGAAGTGGTTCAGAAATCAGACCTGACTTGGCAACACATTCTCACACCCAAAGCATCAAACATGACGCGTGTGACCGAGCCTCAATATGTGACGATTCGGGATGCCCCTGCGCGCCAGGAGAGGACGCATCGCCCCAGAGCGTCGGTGTCCGACGGCCGCGGTGAGACGGACATTAGAGCCATTTGAGAACTACTTAACCGTCCCCTCACCCCCATTCTAACCTTAACTCAACTGAGTTACTGAGTTAAGGTTAGGACTGGGGTGAGGGGAAGGTTAGATCGTGTAATAATGGCCGTTGGACTGCGGGTCACATACGGACGCCAGCGGTGCCACGTGTCGCTGCGTGTCCCTGAATGTCCTCCCTGATGCGCTGGGGCATCTGGAATCGTCATATATTGAGGCTCGGTCACACGCGTCATATTTAGACGCTTTGGGTGTGAGAATGTGTTGGACTTGTCAGAGCGGGTAGAATATGAGAGCAGATGGACACTTTTGATGCTTGGCACCGTTTGAAATGTTCACAGAAAAGAGGCTGACTGCAGGTCTGAACTCACGTAAGTGGCAGGTCTTCCCTTTCCAGCCATCGACACAGCTGCAGTAGAAGTCGTTGACCAGGTCGATGCACAGACCTGCGTTCTGACACGGGGTCCCGCTGCACTCGTTCACATCTACAACCCAGATGTTCGAGTCAGAAATACCAAAACTCACAATCCAGATTAGCATTTAAAAGCAGAGAAGGAGGTCAGCACTGAGAAAATCTAGATTCACCACAAAACTGGATAGCCCAACATTAGCTTAGAGTCGGTAAATTAGCATTTAAAAGCATTTGTTCTTTTCTTATTTTGCTGTTCTGTGCTAGTCGAAGAAAAGCAGCGATAACGTCTTAAAAGACACTTTTCTGAGAAATTGTGTTTTCAACATTTTAACACAAGAGTTCATGTTCTGGGCGAAGGTTGTGGGATCGCTGTAGAATAAATGAAGATTAAACATTGTCTTTAACTTTATACTTAGAACAGGGGTTCCCCGCGTCTCAGCTTCTGACCCACACAATGAAAATAGTAAAATATCTTTGATATGATGATACATACCAGCCTAAAACGCCAAACAGAAACAGAACAGAAAACAGCTGGATTTGTAGTCCTACTCGTTATTATTCATGATATGCAAAAATCTCTCCTCTGATTGGCTAACAGCAACATGGCTTTACCTCTGACTCTGCTCTGCATCGTTGATGCTTTATCTCCACCAGTAGCACAAGTCTGGAGGAGATGTGCTGTGTGGTGGAGATGCTAATGCTAACAGTTAGCTTCTCCTAGCTGAGGCGTTCTCTGCTGTTTCCTGGACTCTAAACCAACCACAGCCTTCCCCGTCGTGAGTCAAGATGGGTGAGTCCACACGTAGATCTGTCAGGATTTTCTAATCCTAGAGTTTCACCATCTATTTTCTTATCAGAAGCTAATGGAGGAGAAAGGTGTAGGAGACTGTTTTCATGTTCAGCCTGCATGAAAAAGGCCTACTTAGCAACTTTTTCATGTTTTTAAATCATTTTCTTGAGCCAGTTATGAGCTAAAATGACCCTCTGAAGGGTTAATGAAAGGCCACTCCGCCCCTATCGCCCCCTGTGGCCAGAATATTCCATTTGTAGCTTCACAGTTGCCAGTCTGGTCCATAGAAGCTCTGGGAGTTGACGTCACTTCTCCCAGCATGCAACAGTTCAAATTGAAACGGCGCCATACTGGCAGGCAGAAGCCCGCAGCTGCACTATTTGCTATTGTCAGAAAACTCAATCAGACAGGAAATATGGTAGATTCCTGTTGTGCCCCAGGATGCAGAACAGACGCGGACGACATAAGGAATGAGCCATCTACAGGATTCCCCAAGATCCGGAGCGCCGCAAACGTTGGATCATTGTAATAAAACGCGCTAGTGACCTCGCTAAAATGAAGCTGTGGGATCCCAAGAGTAAAGGATTTCGCTTATGCAGCGACCACTTCCTATCAGGTACTTAAACCAACGTTTCCTCGACTGTGTATGGTATTTATTTTAAATGCTCTTATTAGGATTCTTAGTGGGCTTCCTAAACTTATTTTGGCGTGGCTTTTTCTGTCTTAATACTCATAGCAACAAGTAAACGTCACGTAAAACGTTGCCTCGCGATTTCTGCGTGCTGCCGTTTACGTGTTTTATGATCACAGCAATTAACCGGCTAAGCTGTATTTCATTTTTAAGCAATGGTTGATCAGTTGTCAAAATAAAAAGTACTTTGGATTGCTATTATCTGTCTCACCGAGACAGATCTCAGACAGATCCTGAGACGCTCCTGCCTGACATATTTATTTTATTCACGGAAAAGAATCAGACTAGTGATTTCTCTTGGCGTTCAGTTTATACATTAAAACAGCACAGCACTCTATTTAAACTACTTACATGTAAATCTATGTTATTTGTCCATCCATCCATTTTCACCCACTTATCTGGAGTCGTGTTGCGGGGGCAGTAGCCTAAGGCGAGAGGCCCAGACTTCCCTCTCCCCAGCCACTTGGGCCAGCTCCTCCGGGGGAATCCCAAGGTGTTCCCTGGCCAGGTCCAACAGCTTCTGGCGTTTTTAAAAAGTATCCCAGGGGCACGGTAAGGGTCGTAGATGTTTAGTCTATTTAATTTCTGACTATATAAAACGATTTCTTCGGTTTTAAAGTGTGAAGTAAACTCCGACGAAGTACAATCCAAGCCGATCCCGTTCATTCTGTTAACATTTGTTGCCTGCCAACATGGCGCCTGCTCTCTGAGGGTCACATGACGTCCGGAGCTCTATTGGGACTGGGGCTGAGCTGACCTACCTGATGCTGCTGTCTGGCTTCAGCATGTTTCCTGCGTGTTTTAGATCACGGATGCAGCTGATCTGCTTAATGTAGTGATGAATGACTGCTCCAGACAGTTAGGACCTCTGGGAGACGTTTCAGCTGATGAAGGTGTTAAAAGACGAATGCACAGCGAGGAGAGGTTTTGGTTTCACTTCTACAAACAGACACTATAGCGGTGCTAAAAGCAAGCAAAAGTGCCTCGTCTCCCTTTAAACTCACGTGGCTGATTATTTTCTAAAACAATAAATAAAAATGGTTTCTCTGAGGACCTGCGCTTTAATGATTTTCCTCTTGTATTAAAGGAATTTTTAGGCATTTTTTAAAATATTCATCAATATTTACTATTTCACTTCTTGGTATTTCTCTGATGTCTCAGATGAAATACATTGAATTTACATCTTACAGAGCTATTTCTTATTGAACCGGAGGCCATTCAAGAAGCTACCTTAAAGTTAGGCATTTGTTTTTTAACCACTTCCACAGAAACATAGATTAAAATTGTAGAAAATCCCGTTTTCCTAACAAGGGTGGCTTGTATTTGAACCCCAGTTAGAGAAAATAAAATGTAAGCTGGGCTCACTTTGCTAGCACGTCTCCTTCTCACAGCTTGGAAAGCTTTGTTCTTGCTCACATGGACCCCGATCTGCCTCTCTAAAGCACACCCACCCACACACACACACACACACACTCACCAGCCTCACATATGGTTCCCTCCCAGCCGTCTGGGCAGACACACTCGAAGGAGTTGATCCCATCAATGCATGTACCTCCGTTTTTACACGGGGAAGATGCACAATCGTTCACGTCTGCAGGCAGAAAGGAGGGATTTTAAACTCGAGGAAGTTATGAAAACGAGTCAAAACACATTGAATCCAACAACTGTATGAAGGAAAGGATTGGTGATCCCTCCATTTGAGTGTGTTTTACATGCAAAGGAGAGAAACATGTCTGTTGTGTGCCTGTTAAAGGAGACATGTCCACTGATTGGCTTTTATTTTAACATCTTCTTATCATTCTGAAGTTTCCATGTTTTCCTCTGGAGTTCCTTCTTGTGTTTCTTCCCTCTGCTCCAAACCAAACTTGAGACGAGTGATGATTAATGTAACCTGAACCTGAATTACCATAAGACCTGTGCTTCCCAGTGTCGGTAAGTCGTGATAAATATAGTAGAGTGTGTGTGAGTGTCAAGTTAATGATGGCTCACTCTCATGGCAGTAGGTGCCAGTGAATCCCAGATCACACGAGCAGCTGAAGTTCCCAGCAGGCAGGCTGATGCAGCGTCCGTGGGGTCCACAGATGTTGGACAGGATGTGCCACACCTGCTGCTGGGTGTCATTGGTCGCCACGGCAACCGTGCAACTGTCAATAACTTTGGGTAAAAAACAAAGGCGAGCACAGTTAGACCTTTTTTTTATACCAGTTTCCACTGAAGGTTTCGAGAAATGAGGGCCCTACCCTGACACTGGTTGGTTTTGCAGTGGTCCTTGAGCTCTGAGCATGTTTTCCCCACATAAGCATCTGGGCAGCTGCAGTAGAAGTCCCCCATCAAGGTGTGGCACTGGGCCTTGTTCTGACAGGGGTTTGGGCTACAAGGGTCATTCTGCACCTTCACAAAGCAAAGATTGGGCCACATTCCGATTATCAGCAAAACAGACTAGATGTCGTTTCAAAACTGGTGTTTTCAGGCTGGACGTGGAACTCACCTCACATGTGGTCCCCGTGAAGCCCTGTGGACATTCACACATGAACCCGTCCAGCAGGACGCTGCAGCGGCCGCCGTTCTTACACGGGCTGCTGGAGCAGCGGTTCCTCTGAACCTCGCAGTGTCGACCCACGAAGCCTGGCTGGCACACACACTGGTAGCCTCTCGCCATGTTCTGGTTCCAAAAACAACCAAAAATGTTTGATTCTATCTGATGAAGCAACAATGGATTCAAAGAGTAAGGCACATAAAGCAAGCTAAGTGAGGTACAGATGAACTATTGGTCATTCTCTGAGAAACATTTATTTATTTTTGAAATATAATCGCTGACAGAGTATCACAAATGGTCTTCAACCCTTATCACCCTTATCAGCCGCAGAACAGAAAAAGGTCAGAAAAAAGCCCGTTTCTAAGTCACGGGGAAAATAAGCAATCGTGGCCCCGCCCACCTTGGCTTGCGACCATGGAATGCTGAGTTGATTTTGTGTCCATCAAAGATCAGAGCGTGTCTCGGCTAGAAGCTAACGGTTAGCATTAGCACCCCCACAACATGAAAGAACTCCTTCAGGCTTATGTTGTTTTGGGAGTTGAAACATCAACGTTGCATTTTGTTTACCCAAGAAAAAGGAGCAAAAGAAGAGTTGCTGGAAGCCAATTGGAGGCTAGATGTTTATTAAAGAGGCCCTTTACTCATAATTTAATACATTTGCCGTGGTCTCCAGTAAGACTGAATGCCTTGTCAGTCATGGCCTGGGGAAAAACAGCTCCGGTGCGCCTGTTTGAGCACGGAGAATTCAGCTGGAGGATTTCACCAACATGACTACCACTCGACCGGAAAAGGGTGGCTTGCCACCTCCGGGTCGGGGGAGAGGTCCTACCTCAAGTGGAGGAGTTTAAGTATCTCGGGGTCTTGTTCACGAGTGAGGGTAGGAGGGATCGGGAGATCGACAGGCGGATTGGTTCGGCGTCTGCAGTGATGCGGACGCTGAGCCGATCTGTCGTGGGGAAGAGGGAGCTGAGCCAGAAAGCCAGGCTCTCGATTTACCGGTCGATCTACGTCCCAATCCTCACCTATGGTCATGAGCTTTGGGTAATGACCGAAAGAACGAGATCGCGGATACAAGCGGCCGAAATGAGTTTCCTCCGTAGGGTGGCCGGGCTCAGCCTTAGAGATAGGGTGAGGAGCTCGGACATTCGGGAGGGACTCGGAGTAGAACCGCTGCTCCTCCGGATCGAAAGGAGCCAGTTGAGGTGGTTTGGGCATCTGGTCAGGATGCCTCCTGGACGCCTCCCCGGGGAGGTGTTTCGGGCATGTCCTGCCAGCAGAAGGCCCCCGGGTCGACCCAGGACACGTTGGAGAGGTTACATCTCCAATCTGGTCCGGGAACGCCTTGGGGTCCTGCCGGAGGAGCTGGTGGACAAGGCCGGGGAGAGGACGGCCTGGAGCTCCCTAGTTGGGATGCTGCCCCCGCGACCCGGACCCGGATAAGCGGAGGAAGACGAGACGAGACGAGATGACTACCACTGATAGTTTGCTTTGCAACATTGATGTTTTATCTCCACAAATAACACACGCCAAACGGAGTTCTGCTGTAGTGGAGTTCCATCCATCCATCCATTTTCATCCGCTTATCCGGAGTCGGGTCGCAGGGGCAGTAGCCCCTCTCCCCAGCCACTTGGGCCAGCTCCTCTGGGGGAATCCCAAGGCATTCCCTGGTCAGGTGAGAGACATAGTCCCTCCACCGTGTCCTGGGTCTACCTTTAGGTCTCCTCCCGGTTGGACGTGCCCGGAAAACCTCACCAGGGAGGCGTCCAGGAGGCATCCTGACCAGATGCCTGAGCCACCTCAACTGGCTCCTCTTGATGTGGAGGAGCAGCGGGTCTACTCTGAGCCCCTCCCGGATGACCGAGCTTCTCACCCCATCTCTAATGGAGAGCCCAGCCACTCTGCGGAGAAAACTCATTTCGGCCGCTTGTATCCGCGATCTCGTTCTTTCAGTCACTACCCAAAGCTCATGACCACAGGTGAGGGTAGGAACGTAGATCGACCGGTAAATCGAGAGCTTCGCCTTCTGACTCAGCTCTCTCTTCACCACGACAGGCCGGTACAACGCCGGCATCACTGCAGATGCAGCACCAATCCGCCTATCGATCTCACGCTCCAGTTTTCCCTCACTCGTGAACAAGACCCCGAGATACTTAAACTCCTCCACTTGGGGCAGGACCTCATCCCTGACCCGGAGAAGGAATTCTACCCTTTTCTGAATCAAGACCATGGTCTCGGATTTAGAGGAGCTGATTCTCATCCCAGCTGCTTCACACTCGGCTGTGAACCGCTCCAGCGAAAGCTGAAGATCACGTTCTGATGAAGCCAACAGGACCACATCATCTGCAAAAAGCAGAGATCCGATCCTCAGGCCACCAAAATGGATCCCCTCCACACCTTGGCTGCACCTAGAAATCCTGTCCATGAAGGTTATGAACAGAATCGGTGACAAAGGGCAGCCTTGGCGGAGTCCAACTCTCACTGGGAACGAGCCCGACTTTCTGCCGGCAATGCAGACCAAGCTCTGACGCCGGTCATACAGGGACCTAACAGCCCGTATCAGAGGGCCTGGTACCCCATACTCCCAGAGTACCCCCCACAAGGCTGTAGTGGAGTAACTAATGCTAATGGTTAGCTGTACTAGCCGAGAAGTGTTCTGCCATTTCCTGGATGCTAACCCAACAACAGCCTTTCCTGTTGTGAGCCAAGAGCTCGATGTAGATCTGTCAGGCTTTTCAAATACCATCATCTATTTTCTATCAGAAGCTAATGCAGGAAATGTCCACGTTCATTCAGTTCACTCAGCGTAGTTCACTCAGCGTAGTTCACTCAGCGTAGTTCATTTTCAAAAATAAGTTAAAAATGCTTTCTCAGTGAAGGTTTTCAACCCCTCTCTCCTCCGACTAACTAAGCGCGGGAGTGATTTTCATCCACAGAAGACAAATCCCAAGACATTCACTAGAGACCATAGCTAATTTATTAAAAAAAGTAAAATTAACGAGTGATCGACACTTTTGACTACATCACGTCGGGCTAGGGGAAACTCTGTGGGTCCGAATCAACTAGGAAGCTTCATATTTTTCACTACAGGGGTAAAAACTCGGTCTCACCTTGCAGATGCCCCTGTTCTGGCATTGCCCATGGCAGCTGTTCATGTCTGAGGAGAAAAGGAAAGGTTAGTGTCTGGTTTTGACCAAACAGATTCAGCCATACAGCGACATGCAGATGCTACAGGAAGTGATCAAAGCAAAGTCATGAGTGCCTGATAAAGATGAAGATTTCAGTGGGAAAGAGGGGTCAAGAGTTTGGAAATAAGTAGTTTTAGCCACAAAACCAAGATCTAGGTCAAATCAGTCATTGGAAGCATGGAAGAAAGAAGTCCAGCACCCTTCACTGCACAACAGCATCTGCTGCTCAGTGATTTTCTTTATTTCAACATTCTTTTTTCACTTTTTTCTTTAGATCAGGAAAAATTTGTGGTGAAATGTTCTGATTTCGCTGCCCCTGCTCTCCTCACTTGGCCTAAAATGTGAACAGGAAACACGTTTCACTTATTTCCATGAGAGAAAAAGCCGTCACAGTTGTGAGTGAAGGGGCTGGGTGTCAGGCAGGCAGGAGGAGGATAAGACTACCGATGTTTGAGCTGATACTAACTGATGTCACAGTTCTGGCCCACCCATCCACGAAAGCAGGCACAGTGATATCCACCAATTAAGTTTTTGCAAGAGTAAGCATTGAGGCAAGGCTTCCCCGCACACTCATTAACGTCTGCAAAGTGGAGACCAAAGACAGAGACAGGACAAGAGGGTGAGAAGCCCATCACCCAGCAGACAAGCCCAGTAAACACAAGGGTTTAAACTTATTGTAGACTGACTCCAACAGTGTTCCCTAGATGACACGACTCATTAGAGGGACTGAATTAGATCAGGTCTCCTACAGAGCGACACAGCGATGGAAGTTGTCAGACTTGTAAAATTATCGGAACCTTTGCAGCAGCTTTCCGTGACACTGGATCCCGACCCCCACCCCTCTGAGTTCATGTCTCTATGGAATTCCCTGAAGGCCAACCTGTGGCATTCCGAGTGGTCAGTTTCAGAGGCGGTGCTTGCTGTTCCAACGCACCCACTATAACCAACACAGTGCATTAATACTACTCCCAGGAGGTGAGCAGCACCTGTTGGCCTACTGAAATGAAACACCCAGAGCCCCCCCCCCAGGTACCTCCCTGCCCACTGACTCGGGGAACACTAAACAGGAAAGCGGCTGGTCTTTGTTTTCTCTGCTGCACTCGATCACAGGTTAGGAAGTGAAAGGGGGGTGAGGGTCTACTGAGCTGAGGCGTTGCCTCACCATAGTGCACTCACTCCGCTGTTAGCCCTGTCTGGAGCCAACCCCCCTCCCCGCTCCCAGTGAAGTATATATGGTCCCAAGGCTAGCAGTTGCCAGGCTGGAGGTTATTTTTAGCTTTACTCAAGTCACCTGGCTCGAGTTGTAGATGAAACCCTGCGAGTGCCTCAGCTGAGCATGCGTATAAACACACACACACGCACACACACGTAAAATGAACTCGTGTTGGTTAGCTAACATGACAGTCATCATACACGCAACACGCCCCGAACACCCACCATGCAAGAAGTTTTACAGCGTGAGGCTGCCGACCCTGACCCCAGCTAGAGAGAGAGACACGTACCGATCTGGCAGGTCTTGCCTGTCCACTGTGGAGGACAGATACATTCAAAGCCATTCTCCATGTCCATGCAGGTCCCCCCCTGAGCACAGGGGCTGGACGCACATTCATCCGTGTCTGGAATATAAATGATCACAATTGCCTGGTTAAATCTGTCTGTCTGGTTGGTGAGTCTCCGTTTACCGACACGCTGCTCTGATGTGATTAGATGTCAGACACCAGCTGAGTGAATCCAGCCTAACAGTCTATCGTTTGATTGATCTAACCTCTCACCTTTAGCACAGGTAGGCCCAGACCAGCCAGCAGGACAGTGACACTCAAACCCAGAGGGGACTTCGTGGCATGTCCCTCCATTGGCACAAGGGTTGGACAGGCAGGCGTGCTCCGCTACAAGAAGCACATCAGACCAATTCTGGACTAAAAGTGCAGCGAAACACAGTTTTCAGGTGTTTGATGAAAAAACTCACCAATCTCACAGTTCTTGCCCGAGTAGCCGTCTGGACAAGCGCAGTTGTATTCGTCTGGCTCCGTGTTCATGCAGGTTCCTCCGTTCTTACAGGGCCGGTTGGTCCCACAGTAGTTCAGATCTGATCAGCAGTTAGAGTCAGCCAGGATTGTCAAACCAACATATCAGCCACAAAACGTTCAAACTGCTCATTTGTCAAATAACTGCAGAAAAAAGTTCTAATTAGTTTTAATTTTTAAAATATTCCATTTAGCATTGATATAAATGCTCTTCTCTCCCACCAAACAAGTCGTTTTCTACACATCTCGCTGCTTCCCAGGTAGGGGAGGATTTTTCAGCACAACACCAGCCCATAATAAGGGCAAAACCGACACCATCCCACATTTCTGTCATCATTGTTTCAATGACGGGACCCCATTTGGCTCTCTATGTATGGATGTATCTGAACACGGGTGAAATTTAGCAGATAGAAAAAGACGTTGAAGTAAAAAAGATGAGCATCAATATTACCATCTTATTATTGATGTTTGTATCATCTCACATGTTATAAATCTTTTTCCTCTTCATAATTAAAAAAAATGCAAGAAAATACATTTTAAATAGCATTTCTCTTGTTGTGGAAGTGAGAGAGTTCAAATAGTTTCTATTTAGTGTCCGACCTTTATCACACAGCAGTCCTCCCCAGTTCTTCTCACACGTGCACTGCCATGGCTCGCTGCAGGTACCGTGCACACAGCCGGGGTACGGCAAGCACCGGTCACACAACGGGCCGTCCCATCCGTAGTTACACCTGCAGAGCAGAGGAGCCGCTCAGAGAGTGGGAGGACCGTGCTGCTGGTTACATCATTTAAAACACTCAAGTGTCATCACTCATGCTGGGAACTGAGAAACAACACAACCTCTACTGGCCTTGACAGCTAAAATCTCAGCTTCCTTTAAAATCCACCCAACCTTTTCTTTCCTTACCCCAGATTTCCTTCACTCCTCTCTTCAAACGTTCTGGTTTTTGTTTGGGTTCTCTCCTTTCTTTCTGCCCTCCTCCACTTACATCCTTCCTCCCTCGCTCTGCGTAGGTGGCACAGCCCCACAGCCGAGTACAGAAGGTTAGGCCCCTCTTTGTCACACATTTAGTTGTGTTCTGACCGATGCTGAGACTCGTCATTGACCAAATCCAGAACTTTGGATAAAACCAAGCTCATATTTTAACACAGTGGTCTCTAGTAGGAATGAATGCCTTGTGAGTCAACGAGTCAGCTGGAGGAGAAAGTAGCTTCAGACGCAGGACTTGCGGTATTATTTCCTGATCCCTCCTCTGATTGGCTAACAGAAACATGACTCTACCACTGACTCAGTTTGCAATGTTGATGTTTTATCTCCACAAAGAACACAAGCCTGGAGGAGCTCTGCTGTGTGGTGGAGTTGCTAATGCTAACAGTTAGCTTCTAATAGTCGACACACTCTCTGCTGTTTCCTGGATGCTAAACCAACAATCGTGAGTCAAGACGGGCGAGTCCACGAAGGTGTGACGTAGATCTGTCAGGATTTCCTAATCCCAGAGTTTCACCGTCTGTTTTCTGCCAGAAGCTAATGCAGGAGATCGGTGTAGGAGACTATTTTCATGTTCAGCCTGCGTGCAAAACTCAGAGTGACTGATAATTATCAGAAATATTGATTAAAAATATATTTTTTCTGTGAGGTTGACATTTAAAATCCTTCCTGCCTCCGATAGTCAGAACCAGGAGTTCAGCGAGGCCAACGGCGGCTAAAGGTGTTAGCTTGTTTTCGTTTTCAGAGAACGCCTTTAATCACAAGCTATCTGAGAAAGCGTTAGCAGCTTCAGCCGGACTTTTTACCACGAGGAAACACGAAAATAAAGCTGTGATTACTTCAGTCCTTGCACATCATGGAGCCACAGAGAGGAGTGTGTGATGTTCCTGCAGAGCTGAGACATCTTCATCACACTGTGACAAGTTAGCTCAGGACACACACCACCAGAGGACATTCCTGAAGTCTGTGTGTGTGTGTGTGTGTGTGTGTGTGTGTGTGTGTGTGTGTGTGTGTGTGTGTGTGTGTGTGTGTGTGTGTGCGCGCCGTACAGGACAGATATGCATGAATAATTGGAACAAGAGCTCTACAAAGCTAGACCCATGAGCAGGGAAGCCACTGGCGGCGTTTCACTGGTAAACAGATCTCAGAACAGCTAATATGAACCATGCTAACACCAAGTCTGTTTGGACTCAACCAAAAGACGGAGCTGTTACACGTTTCTGTCTCTTTCCAGCTGCAGACCAACGGTAAATGTTCTAGCCACAGGTCAAACAAGATCTAACGTGTTTGGACATTTGCACGTGCATTTCTGTGTGGAAATGACAAATAATCATGATCTCACCCATTTTAGGCCCTGAACAGCCTCTGTTTGGAGAAATGGAGTTTTTAATAAGCAGCAAGAACATGAGCTAAAGCATCTCTTTCTTTGATTGTTTGCTGGATTTAGACATGTTTCATGAATGTTGCCGTGTTAGCAAAAACACATGGGACATTACGATGTACTTAAATGCCATTGGACACGCTGACTGACTTGCTTCTCCTCAAAAACTTGAGGCTGAAAAGCACTAACTGCGGACAATCTGTGGGGTTAGGGTTAGAACAGAAGGTTAGGCCCTGACCCTAACCCTAACCCACCCTGTGACACTGACTTCTCCTCACTGATCCATAAAAGATCATCTCTGATCTCTGCAGCACTTCAGCACCAGACATAGTCAATCACTGAAATGAATGAACGTTTACATCATCTTCTAATTTTCCAGTTGAACCTGTACAGGCTGTTGTAAGAAGATAACAAAACTCCTTGTTTTGGGCTGTTTTAGACTAGCTGTTAGCTCATCAGTCCTGTTCATCACCATCTATTGCCAGACGTTTCCTCACAAAAGTCTCAGTCGGTACAACTGCTTATCTGTTATTTAAGTCGTCTTATTATTAATAATAATGTTTTTGGAGGCATCAACTTTTTTATAAATGAAGCTGATGGTGGCACACAAAATATATTTCAGGCCCCCTCGTTGTGGCACCCCCCCCCCCCCCCCCCTTACTCCTCTGTCGCTCGGCTGAGGTCAGACCAGGAATGAGCGGATGGTTCTGCGGAGCGAGGGTTAGTCGGCCTGCGAAGGGTTAGCTAATCTGTTGGTTTATGGCAGCACTCTGTTATTCCAAGGCCTGTGGTAATTTCGCCCACCTGTCCTGTCAGTTCTCCGTTGGGCCTATTTTTGGGAGAGACCCACCTCCCTCTTCAGCTCCCCCACCCCACCTCCTCCGACTCTCAAAAACACTCAAACAGATGCCCATCAAACAGGGGTGATGTGCTACTGCCTTGAGGTTTTATGTGCTGATGGCGAGCTGGAAACAAGACAGAAGGCTCTTTGATCGGACCTGAAGAGTGTTTCACTAAGACTCTTCAGCTTGGCACGTTTGGGTTCAGGTCAAGGCTCTGAAGCTTGCAGTTCTGGGGCCAAAAGTGGCTCTTTGGAGCTTCCATAATGGTTTTTAATAACTTTGTCTAGTAATGATTAAGTTTAAGTATCTCGGGGTCTTGTTCACGAGTGAGGGAAAGCTGGAGCGTGAGATCGACAGGTGGATATGTGCTGCGTCTGCAGTGATGCGGGCGTTGTACCGGTCTGTCGTGGTGAAGAGAGAGCTGAGCTGGAAGGCAAAGCTCTCGATTTACCGGTCGATCTACGTTCCTACCCTCACCTACGGTCACGAGCTTTGGGTAGTGACCAAAAGAACGAGGATAGTGGACACAAGAGGACAAAATGAGTTTTCTCTGCAGGGTGGCTGCTCTACTTTAGAGGTAGGGAGAGAAGCTCAGTCATTCGGGAGGGGCTCGGAGTAGACCCGCTGCTCCTCCACATCGAGGGGAACCCGTTGAGATGGCTCGGGCATCTGATTTGGGTGCCTCCTGGACCCCTCCCTGATGAGGTTAGCCAGCGTGTCCAACCAGGAGGACACCTAAAGGAAGACCTAGGACACGTCGGAGGGACTATGTCTCTCGGCTGGGCAGGGAACACCAAGGATCCCCCCCGGAGGGGCTGACCCAAGTGGCTGGGGAGAGGGTCTGGACCTCCCTGCTCAGGCTTTTGCCCCCACGACCCGACTCCGGATAAACGGGTGAAAATTAATGGATTTTATGTCTCTAAAGATGTTTGAATTCGGTCATGCCAAGCAGCGATTCAGTTGACACTCTGCTCACCTCACATGGACTCACACTGGCTAATAAACAAAGTGAAAAACAAAACAAAAGAGTCCTTATATTTTAAACAGTTTACCAATAAAGAGTTGAAAACAGCTGAAAAAGAAGAAAAACCGGTTACTGCCGTGACCGGGAGGATAACCTGCACAAAACTACATGCTGACACACATTTCCTGTGCAGGCCATTACATGTGTCTTTGTAGACAGGACGTGTGGTTTTTACAGCGGTGTTTTGTCCCCAATGCAGCAGTAATTAATCACAATATCCAGGTTTCAGAACCAAGACCTGAGCAGCTTCAGACTGGTGATGCATGTGGGCTACTTTCTCCTCCATGCATGAAAAATCTCTACATGGACCAAAAGCTGAGGCAGGAAAGTGCAAGAATGCAGCTAAAACCAGGTTTGGGGGTGTTTCTCATGAGGAAATAGCATTATCACATGGTAAAACGCTTTCAGTGATATGGTCCCTTTTCAAACTGGGGACACATTTCTACGTATAACACAAATAAAGTCTACTTTTGTTCCCAGATTTAATTAGGTAAATCATACTTTCACTGAATGCATGAAGACATAAATGTGTGCTCCTGTGAGCATACAGTATGTACGCGTGTGTGTGTGCGCGCGTGTGTGTGACAGGGCTCTGCATTGTTGTGTGTGTGTTGTGTGGCTCTGTGGTCGGCGGCGCTGCCCTGCACACTGTCAGCCCTGCTGCAGCGGTGGACCAGTGGACAGTCTGTCTGGCTGCTGTGTGGGAGAACGGCAGCCACAAGCCAAGGGGGTGGCATACCCAGCAACGTCCCATCAATGAAGAGGGCTTTGGGGGCCAGCCAGAGCCTAAAATACCCCCGCCTGCCCACAACAGCCAGTTTAACGCCGTCCCTCAGACACGCCACACCCAGAGGACAGGACGGTGGGCCGGGCCCGAGGTGGAGGGGCTTGTGGAGAGGCCGTGTGTGCATGTGGGACCACTGAATTATTTACAGCAAAGTCTCGCGCCCGAATCCAGCAGACGGACTTAGCCTGCTGTTGCCTAGCTACAGTTTTAGTGTCACGTGAGGGAGAGTAGGATGTGAATGCGCTGCGAGGAAGAAACAAGACACTAAACACACATTTCTGGTTCTCCTCTGCCAGGAGAAGATGCTTTTCTCTGTGGGTTTCTCAGCTTTGTCTTTGTAAATGTTCCCTAACTTTGCTGGTTATCTGGTGTAATTTCACCCTAATCTGATTTCATTGGTAGAAGAGCCAGTTAGCAGTGTTTTGAGCATTATTTTTACCACTCAGTAATACAGGATGGTTGTTTGGCTTTTTTGAAGCGAGCGCTCCACAGAGTTTACATTAATGACACCAGTTTAGTTAAAACCTCCTGGAATAATTCTGCTAGTCAAAAAGCCGCTTAGTCTAAAAGAACACATTTTCTGATGATTGATTTAAAGGTAAAACCTAAATTTAGGGCACTTGAACTGTGGATTTTAATGTTAAAAACTGCCTTATTGAACGGCTAGCTAACGCTAAAAAAAACAAATAATGTCCAAAGTTTAAAAGACCCCAAAGGAAAATGTTCTTCCCTTTCTTCGCTTCACTGGGAAAGCATCTTTCTGGAACTCGTGTCCGTTTGGATTATTTCAGACTTTCCCCCATAAATCACTAACAAAGAGACTCTTCTTGTCTTCTTTTGTGTGTGTGTGTGTGTGTGTGTGTGTGTGTGTGTGTGTGTGTGTGTGTGTGTGTGTGTGTGTGTGTGCGCGTGTGTGCGTGTGTGCGTGTGTGCGTGTGTGTGTGTGTGTGTGCGTGTGTGTGTGTGTGTGTGTGTGTGTGTGTGTGTGTGTGTGTGTGTGTGTGTGTGTGTGTGCTCCTCGTAGCTACGAAGCCTCTGATCACATGTTGAGACACATTCCTGGGTGTTCCTCTCTGCCCGTCCTCTGGCCATTTCCAATGGGAAATGTCAGCCTCATTATTTATGAGCTCCTGTGACTAAATCAAACCTGCGTCCTTATAAAAACCTAAACATTTCACTCCTCTCCACCGTTCTGACGTTCTCAGACCTTCGGCTCTGGGGGGTTTAGTGTATTTGCTGAGTCTCTGAACTTTTGAGACATGTTCGTCTGCACACGACTGCGAAAGATCTTCAGATGGGAAGCAAAGTTCGACCTGATCATGTGACGTGGCTGAGCGTGAAGATCGGCTACAGCTCTGCTGAATCAAACCTCTCAAAGCTGAGCTGTGGCTAGTTTTAAGTCACTTCAAACTTTAAAGGCGACATTATAACTTTTGTTTTTTTAGTTAATACAGTCAACACAAAACATGTTCATGAATTTCTTTTCTCTAAATCCCTCTCGTGTAAAAGATTTTCAGCAGTTTTACTCTTGACAGTTTCAGTACCTTCCAGAATGAGCCGTTTCAGGGCTCTGTCACTTTAGGAAAGCAAGCTGGAGTTGGTCACGCCCACTCATCCCCTGATAGGCTGCTAACAGGTGAGGACGTAGGACTGTCATGTTAGATGCCCTGTTGGGTGCTGGAGAGCGTGACAGCGTCACCGCCATATTGGATGGGTCTTCTCACTTTCCAAAGTTAATGCAGAGTGGGCAACTATGTCCGTTTATGCGCAGCCTACGGTTACACGGGATTATATTTATATTTAAATTATCATGCCTTGTAACTGATTTTGTGAAAACGCTCGATAAAATGCGTTTTCAGTTGAGTAAGCACCTTCCTCAGTAGAAACGAAGGCACTCGGGGCAAATGGAGACCCATGTAAAATGGCGGACGGCCACTACGACAGCTCCAGTAGGCAGCGCCAGTTCACAGGGCATCTATGTGTCTGTGGGTGAGGAGCTTGAATTTGCGCTGGGGCTCAGTGTAGAGCTGCTGCTCCTCCTCCAACATCAACAGATTAGATGTTCTACGTGAATTTTTCTCATTGTGACTTTTTCAAACGGCTCGTAGAAGCGTGCGTGATTCCTGTCTCCAAACTCTGACAGGATGGATTTTTTTATGTTTGGGTGTCTATAGAGGCAGAAGAGCCTCTGGCGTTTGCATAAGAAGCAAATGGTTCCGTCAAACTAAATTTAACAACTCCACCACCTGCTGATGTAAACACGTATGTGCATTCTGCCTTTGTTGGTAAAATGTAATTTAGAAACAATTTCAACGTCTACATTGGGCCCAGCTAGCACGGCGCTCTCTCCAGAACAAAGCTTTCTGCTGTCAAAGGACGATGGAGAAGAGCCGTGTGGGTTTTTAGCTTCTGGCCTTTTTTAACATGCATCCACTAGCCATAACAGGGTCCTGGAGAGGAAGAGGTGATGTGGGCTGCAGACATTAGAGGGCGACTGTGGATGGGTGGGGGATGCCACTGGTGAACGATAAAAAGGAAACGAGTAGCAGAATGAAAGCCTCTTGTTTTGTGTGTGGGCAGAAGTGGGCCAGCTTCAGAACCAGAAGCAGAACAATGACCTCTGGATCTGAGATTAGCTGAGAATGAAGGTGGAGATGTGAGAGATTTTAAAAGCCTGGGATGGAGGAAATGGTGCTTTTGTCTGGTTTCATCTAAAAAGGATCATGTTTTACATGCATGGACAACAACAACACACACACACACACACACACACACACACACACACACACACACACACACACACACACACACACACACACAGAGTTGACTCACTTGCACTCCCCTGGCTTTTTGCACGTCCCGTGTAAAGGGTTGCAGCCCTGTTTGCAGATTGCTTCAGAGGAAAAGAGTACATGCATTAATACAAATCTTTTATCTCAAAAACATGTTTTTGTTCACTAAAGCTTGATTTCCTTCCCGTTTCCAGCAGACAGTAAAGGGACTTTGAACGGTGACAACATTCTTGAAATTCTCACTAAGTTACACTTCACATGAACTTCCGTCAGCTTCCTCTGAAAAGGCAGCGAGGAAGTAAAAGCTGGAGACACTGTGATCATGAGGTTTTCATTTTTGGCTGCTAAACGTGTGAATTATGTTTTAAACAGAATTCATTGACTCACAAATAAGCAAATAAAGCAACAAAATTAGTATTAATGAAAAATATAATTAACATGTAGTTTATTTTTGAATAATAGCTCCCTTTTGGTCAACTTCATCATGTCATGTGGTTTCTTTTTTGCCACTCTTTTGATGAGTTTGATCATAAAAACATATTTGCAGAAACAAATGTGATTTCGTGTTTTCTTTCAGTTTCAAAGGAAAAAGACTCAAACACACACAAGAAGGAATGCCTTGCCTCACCTGTGTTGCAGTCCTCTCCCCTCCAGCCCTCCATACAGTGCCTCTTTCCAAACTGGTCACACACAAAATGACCAAAGTAGTCGTCGCGGGGACGACACATCGTGTTGCACCTGATGCCATAGTAGTTTTCGTTACAACGTAAGCGGATGGTATATTTAATGGTGGCAATCAAGCTTTTGAATTCCACCGCCTGCTTCTCCTCTCCGGGGTTAATCTTTCCTTTGTGGATGCTTCGCTCGATCAGAAGTTCATCATCTGGACACAAAAACAAAAGCAGCAAATCTTTAAAACAATAAAAAAATAACAATAACTTTAAATTAGACAAATACAGCATAGTGTCATCTGCAAACATGAGAAGAAACACTTTCAAGATGAACATTAGCAGCTCTCCGAGGGATCCCGGTGGAGCACCTACAAAACTAAATGATAATAAAATATGCTCAATATTTAAATAAATACATTAAACAATATAAAACTTGTCCGTTTTTTGGCCACAAGTGACTCAAGCTGACTCCAGTTGTGGGACTTGACCTCCAACAACCTGGTGTTTAGACCATCCATAAAGCTTTTGAAGAATGCCAGTTGTTAACACAGATCAGAGGGGGGTGTGACCTCCTGTCAAACTTCCCCTTGTTACATACAAATGGAAAAGTGGAGAAGAGGGAAAAGAATAGGAAAATTAGGAAAACACAAACATAGGGTGTTGGAGCGAGGTCTGCCAGGGCTTGATAACCAAAAAGCTTTTTCAGTTTTCCTGCTTGGTGAAATGCTTTTCTGTCTCCGTCCTCCACCGCCCCCTCGCTCTCTCAGGATGTTCAGTCCGGACTCCATCGGAGCCAGGAAGGAAATAATAAGAGACGAGGAAGAGTGACATAGGAAAACCCCTTTAGCCTGTTCACAAGGAGCAGAAGCAAAGTGACTTCACAGAAGCTCAGATTTGTGCTCAGCAGCTACTTTTAGTCCATTTTTGTGCATCATTTGCACCAAAATTCTGCTCCTTCTCAGTCAGATTTACAAAGCAAATGGTGCTGATGATAAACTGGCCCATAAAGTTATGTTGTCTCACTGCACAATCTCTAAGTGGGCGTCCATCACAAACATGGGCAGGTTTTCCTTTAAATGCATGCATAGTGCCATCAGCAGAGAGATGCTTTTTGGTCCTAGGTGCAGTTTGAGGTGCACATGTCCCTTTGCCTGGTCTTTGCACACAAGATGGATGAGAAAATGTTTTATTTGCACCCATTAAAGATGCAAAACCCTTAATGGACCTCAAGTCAGAGAGGACACCATGTGCATCTGTCCTTATTTTGACTGAGTGAATCTTCCTGTCATGTCTTATGTCCAAACAACATTTGTTAAATCTGACTTACAATAATACAATAAAAGTGGAAGAAAAGGGAGCCAGCGGAAAAGCTGTCGGACTAAGAAAATAAATAACAACAATATAGAGTTTACTCATAATAATCCTTGCTAGCTACCATTAAAGGCACCAAAATGAATAATTGGAGCAAATTTTTAAAGAAACAAAATTTTTGACTATTCCTTACAATTTGTATTAGATTGTACATTAAATCAGAGAGTAAGTGTGAGCCTGGAGCCAATTTACATCTTTTGCATGAATGCCTTGTAAGCTGTTCACCGGGGAGAAATCCCACGCTGTTTCAGGACGTTTAAGTCAGCTGACAGAGGAAGGAGCTTCAGACGGCAGGATTTGGAGACCCGTTTCTTGATATTTGGACATCTAAGCTCTGACTGGCTAACAGCAACTCTACCACTGACCATTTGCTCTGCAACGTTGATGTTTTATAAAGAACACAAGCCTGGAGGAGTTCTGCTGTGTGGTGGAGTTGCTAATGCTAACAGACACCATCTGCTAGCAGAGACGTTCTTTGTTGCTCCCTGGACGCTAAACCAACAACAGCCTTCCCCGTCGTGAGTCCAGATGGGTGAGTCCATGAATGTTGGTGACAGTGTGACGTAGATCTGTCAGGCTTTTCTAAACCTAGAGGTTCACCGTCTGTTTTCTATCAGAAGCTACTGCAGGAGATAGGTGTAGGAGACTATTCTCATGCTCAGCCTGCATGAGACACTCAGAGTGACCCATTAGAACAGAATATTCATTTAAAGTGGTTTTATTAGTGAAGCTGCTCTCTAACGTAAGAACAAAACAACAGGAGGGTCTGAATTGTTTTCTTCCACAGAGCAAAATTCATTATTCTACCACTTCTAAGACCTTTAGATGAACTCAGATGTGTTTTAGAAGCAAACAACTAGATTATTTACTTATTTGAAATGTTATTTTAATATAGTCTGTTAGGTGTCTGTGTGCATTCTTTCCTAAAGCGTAAAAACCTCCGATAGCGAGTCTCCGTTTTCACGCTGTCCTGATTTCCTCAGTCTCAGTGCGAGCTAACACACTGCCACAGATTTCAGTCCCACACCCCCACCTGAACCACCCAGGCACTCACTCACGGCTGCTCATCTCCAGCAATTAGATATAAAAATATAGACCAATCATGAGCTCCCTCTGAAGTGGAAGAGATACGCTCAGAGAGACCGTTGTTACTAGGGAGAGCCGGAGGGGGGGGGGCACTTAAGACTAGCTTACATAAACAACGAGGTGCTTCAGATCCGAGCAGCTGATGGTGTCAAGAGCAGCGTGTTTGTCTGAAGCCTGTTTCACAGATGAGGCGACACGCTACTCCAATCATTTGGGTTTTCTGGATACTCGTGACCAGTTACGACGCAACAGGAGGGCTTCGCTGGGGGGGCTGCGGCTCGACGACTCCTTTACAACTTGCAGCCTGTGACAATGCTGACCTTTGACCTTAAGTCAAGGCTTTTACCTTCACCTCACATCAGCTGTGAACAGCTGCAGCCATTTCCCACGTAGATTACGAGTGTGTTATTCGGGACCAAGCATGTCGTTTCACTTCATTACCAGCACCGTTTGCTCAATAACTAATAATGAAATTAAGAATAATCCAGATTAAAAACAGAGCGTTTGTTTCTCTGGCTGTCTCCTCTAGCTGGTTGTGAACTATGATCAGACATGTGGGCATGAGCAACTTCAGCTGCATTTTCACCAAGACACGAGTTTCACTGCAAAAGGCCTCTTGTGAAATCTGTTGCTTTATCAAACACCAGGTGTTGCTACCTGGCGAAGTCGTTTGCACACCTGGAACGAGGAGCCGTGCCAGAACATCACTCATGCTGCAGTCAATCAGCACAGAAAAACCACTCATTCAAACAAAAAAGTCCAGCTGATTCATCGTTGTAGCACCGAACCTTAGCAGTAGACCGTCTCAGGTTGTACGTTACGAAACGAATGAGCTAAGCAGCAGAAAGTCATCAACACGTGTCCGGCTTTCCAGTGTAGCGGTCTGGAGCATACAGGTGTGTGTTCACATCATCCCCGTCTCTGGGACGGTTTCATTGCCATTTCTAAACATCCATCCATTTATTATCTATACTCGCTTGTCCACGCAGGGTCACGGGGGCAGGTGCCCATCTCCAGCAGTCCCTGGGCCAGCAGGTGGGCTGCTCCTTGTACAGGTTACCAGTTCTTCGCCACATCTCTAAACATTATTGTAAAACTTTGATTGCACAAAGAAAAGATTTGACTAATTTGGTAATCATCTCCAGATCAGACCAAAACAGAGATTTCTACCCATAATGCACAGCAGCTTGCTTTGAGAAAACCCAACAGACCTGCAGCAGCTGTCGGAACGGTGGCGGAGGGTTGATGGTTTGGGTTTGTTCTACAGCTAAACGACCAGGCACAGCTCTTGATAACAAAAGTAAATAAACATTTTAAAAAAATTTATTTTCTTCCAGAGAATAACAACACTTTTTTAAATTGTTTTCGGGGAGTTTCAACTTTATTCTTAGCTTAGTTTTAGACCATCAAAGGGGGGTTTAGGATTGCTTTTAGCACGCTCTAGTGTCTGTTTGTAGAACCGAAAACAAAACCTGTCTCCTCGCTGTGCGTTCGTCTTTTTAAAACCTTAATCCAACAGCTGAAACGTCTCCCAGCCTTCCTCAGTGTCCACGGGAGTGATTCGTCACTTCATGAAAAAAACAGTGTTTATGATCTAAAACAAGCAGAAAAAAATCTGGAACCAGGCTGCAGCGCCAGGTCAGCTCGATGCTCTCTAAGTCCCAGCGGAGAGGCCCACCAGGCTCAGGTGAAACATTCTGGCCACAGGAAGTGCTGGGGCTGGGCTAGCCCTGTAAAGGGTCATTTTAGAACAAACTAAGAAAACGACTCAAGATGATGAAAGAGTTGCAACGCATCCCTTTAGGATGATATTCATGAGGGGTGGTGTTCAGGTTTAACTTCTCGTGATTCTGGAGAACAGCCAGCATCTGCTGTAAAGGAAAGTGAACCAGCTTTAATGGTGAACATGGAGCTCAGTTCTTTGGTCAGAAGCAGAAGCTCATGGTAATGAAAATGCTTCTGGTTTACTAGAAAGTGTTTTATGTTTCATTGTGATTGTTGTCCATCGTCGTCCTGCAGGAATAAAGATGCTGACCGCCTCCAGAAGCCTTGTTTATCTCCACGGCGTCGCTGACTCTTTTCTCTACCTCTATCTGATAGACACACGAGATGCACTCATTATCAGCACATCTCGCTCTGCTTCACAGACGCCAACAATGCACCGGCTCACGTAGTTCGACAGCAGCTCCATTCTTCAGCCCTGTCCCGTCGGCTTTGTTTAAGGCAGGCGAGGGCTTCCTGAAGCACAGACAACCTCTGTGGGTTCTGTTTACACTTTTCCTCCAACAGCCTTTCCAACCTGCTCACGAGAAGCTACAGCCGCATGTGCTTGGATGTTTGAGTCACAAAGGGGTGGAGCTTCTTCAAAAGCTACTTCTGTTTAAGCACAATGATACCAATATCAGTGAGTTAGGGTTATCATGGACAGTTCATATCCCATAGGACTGATAAGTTAATGGCTAGTCTGAAACTGCCAGCATTCATGCTACGATACCACTAGCTGTTAGCTCATCAGTCCTGTCAGACATGGACTCTATTTCTCTGAACAGAGGCCCTTCGGGAAGCCATACATAAGTGTTAATATGAAATTCCTTGGGTCAGCGAACCCTTCTTTCCACGGGAGCCGTCAGCAGCACGTCTTGCTCGCGTAAACTGCTGCTTGGCCCTTCCCACGAGACGCGAAGCAGCAGGGGAGCAGCTGTCACCGACCGAGCACGAAGTCACACGAGTGACTTCGTCAGTAAACACAACAACAAGCAGGAGAAAACTACAACATGGCTCCAAAAGGTTTGTGTTTTATGTTCTGTCCGTTTTATAATCGCCAATATGGACCTGAAAAACAAAGGAGACCGCTAGCTAGGTGATAACTTCTCACGGGGCCGCACAGTTAGTAACTATTTTTAAAAGTAAAGCAACCGGAAGGCAGTACGTTTCTTTATTCCGAAAATCTCTGGAGCTTCGCTCCGTTTCCGCGTCCGATTTCCTGTCTTTCCTTCCCCAAAAATGTCGAACTTGACCCGTTTCAGAGGAGTCGCGCGTAGAAAATAGAACCGCCGCTGCTGACGGCTCCGGTGGAAAAGGTTCTGCTGACCACAGCGGTTCCTATCAGCAGCTATGACGTGCTGCTGCAGTAACGTGCTGCTGACGGCTCCTGTGGAAAGGAGGGGTGAGTGCTGGAACTCCTGGTTGTTCAGATGAAACAGGAGTGTGTTGTTGGAAGCGGTGAGACCACGCTAATAAACTTCAGACAGCACGTGATTATTCATATACAAATCCTGCAGGCCTCTGTCATCACGGCCCACAACTCTCACGATGACCCTCAAAGCTCGGGAAAACAACAACCTGAGCAGGACGTCTCGTGGAAACGATCCCTGCGTGCACCTGGACAGGTAAGTGACTTTCCCTCTCTCCATAATTATGATGCCACCTCACTAATGCGAGCTCCACCTGTAAAAGTAAAACTCCCAACTGGATGCTGCAGGTTGCTGCCTGCTTTGTGACGTCTGTCGAAAGTAATTCTCAATATGCAGGAATTCCCAGGCCAAGACGTGGGTGTGACCGCACGCAACCAGAAACTCACTTAATGTGCAGGATCTTTATTTGACTAAATGATTATGCAGGGGGGATTAGCCCTGGTCACCAGCAGGGCATGGTGGTCTCTGGTAGGGACCACGGACTGAAGTGTCTCCAGTAGACCTCAAGTCCAGCTGCAGGGATACCAAGGGTAGCAGATGCCCACACAAGCAGGCAATAAGCAAAGCTAAAATGAGTCACTGTTCTGACGTCCTCTCCTAAAATCTAACGCAAGATTATCACATAGATCTAATCACATAGATCTATCCTCCATTAACCTTCTTCCTTCCAGGATTAGTGGAAATCAGACGTGCGTGTGTAAACAGGATGAAGCTGCATAAAGTACAATCAAGCTCAGAACCTCCAACGTCTTCCAATTCACACAGTTCAGTTCTGACAACATTTCTGGGATTTTTCCCGTTAAGCAGATGAAGAGAGCTAAAACGAGCCCCTCGTCTGCCGTAAACACGATCATTCCTCATGTCTTCTGGCGGCCCTGGTGTTTCCTGAACAATGAGATTAGATTTAAAGACGAGATTCTCAGAAAAACAATTCCTACAGACTGAACATATGTTTGGTTGTTTGTCAAAAACATCACCAGTGTTAGTCTAGTTCACGTAGGACAGCTTGGTTCGGTCGTTTTTCTACTTGAACCGTCTAACGGACACCCGCTGGGTCGGACCGTAGGGCGAGCCTGAAGGCTGCAGATGGAGGGACTCAGTGATGATCAGGTAATCCGTACAGGTAACCAGATGTTTCCTACATCCTAGAATGAATGGACAGCATGGCAGCAGCAGCCACCTGGCAAAAAGGTGTTAGGTTCAAATCCCAGTGAGCGTGCATGTTGTCCCAGTGCACGAGTGTCTTTGCTCCGTTTCTTCCCACAGTCCCAAAACACCAAAGGTTGGTAAAGAAATGATTCTCAGTTAGGTGTGTGTGTGTGTGTGTGTGTGTGTGTGTGTGTGTGTGTGTGTGTGTGTGTGTGTGTGTGTTGGACCTGACTGAAGACACACCAACACCAGCTCCAGGATTAAGCAGAACTGACTTTGTTTCTGTTCGTTAGTTTAATATTAAATAAATTTTGGGACACCTTGGAAGAAAAGGAGGCGGGGCTTACCGTTGCTGTGTGTGCCATTGTCCTTGTCCCACGCCTCCACTATCAGAGTGTAGTCTTGCTGCAACACAGAGAAGGGCAGAGGTCATCACACTGCACACAAAGATGGGACACACACACACACACACCCCGACCCCCCCACCCCCCCACCCCCCACACACACACACCTGGTGGGACTCCAACATTTCCCTTTCAAGATGTGTGTATGACGTGGCTTTAACACAGAAACTCTAATACAAGCCACTGTCACTCATAAACTCTTCACACACACACACACACACACACACACACACACACACACACACACACACACACACACACACACACACACACACACACACACACACACACACACACAGATTCTGACAGTGAAGAACTGTGGGAAAATAAGTGTTGTTCCCACACTGCTGCCACTGATTAGCTCCCATGTGCTTGGGGCGAGTTACCAAATGAAGCCTCTGATCATCAAAGAGCAAAACATTCACCGGGAAACCAGAAACAAACATTTATTATATTTGACTCAACAGATGAGTTTTAATCCAGCTCTGATGGGATTAGTTCGTTTATTATAGAATAAAAACAACACATTTCCCACCAAATCCAATCTGATTTCACGTTTTCTTTGGTCTTTTATCTCATTTCATCATCATAATCTGGTTTCAGGGCCTGGAGCTAATCTGCTAATCTCGTCATTCCTTACTTGGCAGGGATTTATTCTCAATCATGTAATCATTTCTTTAGCTTTGGAAGGTTGCAAGTGTGGGAGCTGGACGGGGTTCTGGTGGTGCCCATTGCGTTGTTGTGGTTTAAACCAGAAAACGTGTTTACTTGGGTCATTTGTGGAGTATGGATTAGAAACGCGTCCCGGAACAACAACGGTGTGCAACATTTAATCCTGAAACATCATGTTTCCAGTAGAACACTTGGGAAGTAAGAGTCTGCGTGAGATTCTGGACGCGTGGCTGAAAAATTCAATAACCAGAAATTAAAAGAACTTAGAAAACAAAGTTTAGGGTTAGAATAAATTTATGTGTGAAACAGAAGGACGTGGAGCCATGTGATTACATGAAGGAGATGGGGGGGGGGCGATGGTCCTGCGCCCTACTACACACCATGAACGTAGTTTTTGGGGGGGACAGAGGGGACATGTCCCCTCCACTTTTTCCAAAGTTAGTTTTTGTCCCCTGCACGTTTCACAGTCCAAACCCAACAGTACACTAAATGAAACAGACTCTGGTATGCACTAGGTCCAAGAGGACCCGTTTCCCATTAGAACCATCCAGAAGCTCATCTATTGGCTCTGCTGATAACTGCTAACGTGTGATTGGTCGTTCCTGCCACCTGTGTACCTGACAGGTCTGCAGTCCTGAGATTGCATAAAAGAGCCTCTAGCCCCCACCCCCCCCCCCCCACCCCCACACACACACACCCCCACACACACACACACACACACACACACACACTTCTAAAGTCAAAACTGCGTCCATGCTGCACACAGGACACATCTTTCCCACTGACGTGTAAGTTAAGTGTTTCTTAAAGTTAATTAGAATTTGAGACAGGTAATGAAACACGTAGCTGGCTTTTGTTCAGCTTCAGTCCTTTTAGTATAAAAGATGATTTTAGTCTTTTTATTTGAACAAAACCATCTTTTTAATCCATCACCGATCGTTCAGGGTCATGGAGTTTTGTATCATGCTGCGTGTTAATCCCAGCATGCCTCTACACTATGCCCTACTTTCCAGAGGAGATGGACTCCACGTCAACAAACTCCAGGTGCACGTTTTACTTGTGTTCGTTGTTCAGGAGCATCAGCAAACAGGCCTAGATGGACTTAAGTGTCGACTGCATGGGGTCGAACGCACAGCTGTGAGTTCCCATGACCCAGAGGTGCCTCAGAGAGACTGAAGGCTGCAGGGAAGAGAACAAGCTGAGAGAGATGAGAGACTGAGACCAGTGGAAGCAAACGAGAGGAAAGAGAATAAGAACGGTACTTATAGGTGATTTTGTCTGATTGTTGGGGTTCATTCAAGGTGCTTAAGTCCACATTACACTTCTACAAGCTCAGAGGACAGGGAGTCCTGAATGCTTCTGCAAACTTTTATGGTCATCAGGGCTCTTGAACTATAAACTAGGCAGAAATTGTATTTTTTGACAAACGCCAACAAAACTGATTAAACGCTGATTTTATCTGATTTAATTTACAATACCCACAATATAAAGTGTCTGCATTTCATTTAATGTTTAACAGACTAATGAAGTAAAGCATCACTGGAAGATTGACCAGTCTGGAATACTATGACGCTGAACAACCCAAGAAAAGCGTGCAAAAGACCTCATGACATTTGGAAGTCAAAGAGAAAAGGGCACTAGGTATGAGCCCTGATGTCCTCCTACATCTGACATCTGCTGAGCTCCTGAACCTCCACAATGATGCAGACATGGTGAACGCAGTCTAACTTCTGCTATTACAGTTTTTTTATTGTCTGTCACAGGGATGACAAACTACATCAGAGGTTCTGCGAGGTTCTAACAAAGGTCAGGTAGACCAAACCTGTCAAACCAAATGAATGAAACCTAAAATAACGTCTCAAACCAAACTGCACTTTGTAGGGTTTGCAACTACTGACTTATGTTGGTGTCCTTGCAGGATGGCAGACTCAGCTGCTGGGTGATGGTGTGACGTGATGCACCAGCACCGTGACAGATGCAGATCATCCAGGCTTTTCACATCTACATCATCTCCTCAGGCAAGAAGGTTTCTGAGAGCTCTGGTTCACATGAAACCACAGAATCCTCACCTCACCTCAGCCACATCTCTTATTAACCTTCACCACCCACAACAGTGATCATAACTGTGCATCATGGCTGCTTTTTTTATTAGCAGATTTTATTTTGAAGGAGCACAAGAAAAACTTAAACAGCAGGTCTTTAGTGATGCTGAATGTGGTTTTTTTTTTGTATTTGCAGGTGCTTTATTTAAATAATGCTGGACTAATCAGAAGCCCAGTACCAGCTAAAAGAGACCCAGTTGTCGCGACTCCCAGGCTTACACCCTCCTCTGCCTCTGCTGCCTCCTCAATCCCTCAGCCACTTATTTACCTTCACCTGCACCCTGTCATCAGCTCATCACACACACCTGCTCCCCCTGCTATATATTCACTGGCCAGCCACCAGTTCCCTGCCAGATTATTGAGCGCTCTTTGTCAGTAGATCTTCCAGCCGTTCACCTTGCCTGATCACAGCCTCCGGACCTCGTTTTCACGCCTGACCCCTGCCTAGGACTCTCGCCTGTCTTGGACCTCTTCTCTAGCCTGCTCCACTAACCTGATTCGCCTCGTTCTGGTTTTTGACCCACGCCTCCTCTCCGACTCTGTCTCCAGCCTCGCCCTCATCGGGTACGCCACGTCTAATAAAGACTTTTAAAGGAGCTTCACTGTGTTTGGTGTCATCACGGGTCCTTCTAGTTCAGTTCATGACACCCAATAGTAGTTTTGAGGACTACAGTTGGCCTCAGCACCACCTGTTTGACGACAAAAGGCAAGCTACCTCATAGGGGCAGTCCAAAAACTCCCGCTGTTAAGGATAAGGCCTGTTCAATATCAGCGGTGAAGTAAGTCACAGAAACCAGCTGCTGCTGTTCCAGGTTCCTCTGAGTGTGCGTGAGGCAGTCAGATTTGAGTTTCATTAGGTGAAATCAGCCACTCCTCCACGCCTTCACCTGCTCGATGAATGAGTGTGTTCTACCAGCAGGAGCTCACTGTTCCACTCACTGGGTTTATTCCTCAGACCACTTCCACTATCTTTACTGTTTCACTACAGTTTGTTCAACTGAACAGTTTAAACAGAACACATGTTTGATTACCATGGGTAACATTAAACCATTAGTTATTAAATAGTGGACTAATAAAGATGGTTCCTATTTAGTCAACGAGAAATAGCGCTGAAACATTTCTAATCCAGTGTGACTTCATTAAAACATCTGCCCTCACCCACAACAAACAAATGAAGTTAAACACCTTCCCGTAGCATACTGTGTATCAAAACACCATCCCGTAGCATACTGTATATCAAAACACCGTGCCGTAGCATACTGTGTATCAAAACACCATCCCGTAGCATACTGTGTATCAAAGCACCTTCCCGTAGCATACTGTGTATCAAAGCACCTTCCCGTAGCATACTGTGTATCAAAGCACCTTCCCGTAGCATACTGTGTATCAAAACACCTTCCCCTAGCATACTGTGTAAATAAAGGCTAGCGGAAAAACCTCCTCCAGCTTCAGAATACAGATTTTCTCATTTTTCGTAAAACCTCAGCTTCATCTCTTTACCCATCTTTGCGTATTTTCTAAAATACAATTGAGTCTCAAAAATCCTTTTTTTTAGTTTGATTGACCCGGTTTCTGTAGAATTGTTGGTTGATTGGGCTTCATTTTAATGCACCCCTCCCCGTTTGTATCCTGACTAACTTCATGCTTCGGCAACATGACACATTTCACACAGGCTGCAAAACACAGCAACACTTGGAAAAAGATGTGTGACCATCTTCAGGCCCAACTGCGATCTGGTGGACTATCAAATGTGGGGGTCTCTATGTGAGGATGAGTATGGAGGTCTCTGAAATCAAGTCGAGCTCTAAGGAGAGCTGTGTGCAGACAAAACCTTCTTCCTGAAGTAAAACCATTTTAGAGACTCGATCCTTAATCTGACCATATGGAGATGGATGGAAATTTTAAGTATTCAGAACATCTGGATGCAGCAGCAATAAATTAGCGGACTGTTTCCTCTCCACATGCAGATGAGCACGTCAACACATACGTGGACTAAAGTTGGGATAATTTACCTTCAGCTGTAACTCAGTGCAGCACCAAAGACCCAATTAACAACTTTCCTTCAGACGAGAAGAAAAACAGCAGTGCTGACACCTGTCAGGTTGCACCTGTTAGTCTATTAGCATGAATAAAACATGTTGCTCCTGGCAGAGAGGAGATGGGATGGTTAATTTAGCACGTTATTAGCAGAGCCCCCTCCACCACCACCACTTCTCTCTGAGGAGGC